ATACTGGCCACAGGACAATGTCGGTTTTGACCATGGCCTCTACATCACAAAGATCCAGGGAGCTGTGATGGTTGCTGCTTGGTCTCAAAGAGTGATGTCCTTTTAGAACCCTGCCTTGCATCAGAGGACAGGACAGCCCAGCACCTGCCTCAGCACACCTGCTCACTCCCTTACTTTCTACATATAAATGATTTGCAGCACTCAAGAGAAATTTGGTATAGTTAGAACTGCCACTCTGAGAAGGAATGGGGGTGGGGTAGAGGCAGGGGCCCACATTTGTAAGTGAGGCCACTAAAAAGTAACAAGATGGCTTCAGGGTGTTAAGGAACTAAGTAAGGTAGGGTCTTATAATCTCATTCTGTTCCTATTAAAGTCACAAGCCAAAGGCCAGAGCCCTCAGTTTTCGCTGTGTTCTGAAATGGGAAGAAGTCAAGAATTTACAATATCTCCTTCCATCTCACCTCCAAATCCTCACCCTTCCCCAAGTGACATCACCAAAGCCCTCAGAAGAACATGTCATTTCTCAGTTCTCCCACTACTTTTCTGAATTTCTTTTTTTTTCCAAAATATTTTATTGCAGTAAAATACACATAACATAAGGGCTGGCAGGTGGCATGGTGGTTAAGGGCTCTGGACTCCCACATGGCTGACTGCAGTTCGAGTACCGGACCTGGTGGCTTGCTTTCTCACTTTCCCTCTCTCTCTCTCTCACACTATGTCCCTCTGGTCAAATTAAAATAAATAAATAAAGTTAAATAAAATAATTTTTAAATTACACATAACATAAAAGTTTATTATATTAACCATTTTTAAATTTTATAATTGAATCACTGTGTATCATTGCAGCATACCAAATGAATTTTCCCATCACGAATACACTGCATATTGGTCCAATCAAAGACATTATTCTAAACATTATAATCAACAGATTTCTTCCCATTTTGGGTCCCTTAAATGTTTTGCTTCTGAGTTCCTTAAATATGGGTTTTAGTTTCATGTATATAATTGGATTCTTCTGAACTAAGAGTAAGTTTATGCATAGATTCCTTTTGTCCCATAATGATTTAAAATTTTAAAACCCCTATCAGAAGTACCAGCAGCTGAACATATGCATTAGGCCTGAGACAGACAGATGGCATGTCTTTTTCCCATTTGAGGTAGAGGCTCCTAGAGTTCAGGTCTCCCTTCTCCCATGTCTCAGCATTAGCTACAACCCTCAGTTCAGAGCCTCACACAGGCTGAGCAGCAAGGAGCCATTAATGTGTCTGACACACCAGAGCCTGAGGTTCTTGAACAAGGAGTATCCACCAACTTGAAAAATGAACCCACTGTTCCTATGAGGTTCAGTGCCAACGATCCCAACTCTCATTTCTGTCAAGATATTATCACAAATGAAACCCACAAGCCTCATGGTATGACCAGCTTGAAGGGACATGCAGGATACACAACAGGTTATTCACTGGACAAAGAAAAGGTTGCCTCTCCTAAGAAGAGTGGCCCTCTCACAGCCTTACCTTGGTGTTTTCATACTTCTCAGAGGAGGGATGATAAGGTGGAAAAGACCAGCTATATGGAGAATCATCACTGTGATTAGAAGATATACCTTGAAGGAGAACAAAAGAGAAAGTTATTAAATAAAACGTGAAGGGTCTTTCAATGCCCTACCCCTCCAAACTAAAACTTTGTAAACTACTGGGCAAATGGAGTCTCCCCCTCTCTGGGCTTCAGTTTCTGTAAAATCAGGAACTTAGGCCAGATGCTAAGTCCCTGCTAGGCTGACTCCCTACATTTCTGTGTGAGGATTGGGTCCCAGTGATCTGTGCTAGGCTCTGGGGAACCCACGAGGACAAGGTCAGCCAGCATATTACAGCAGCACAGCTCCTCCAAGCCCAAGCCCATGGGACAGCTTCTCACCCACCGTGTGAAGGAGGTAGCTGAAGCACAGGCACCTACGGGGGAAGGTGGGAAACAGGCTCCAAGAAGGTCCATGTCTTGCCTGATGCCAACTGGGTATTAAACAGGTGAGCCAGGACTCAAACCTTAGGACCCCAAGTTCCACATACACCCGGCATGAGTTTAAGCCACTGGGTCCAGTATTTGAACCGTGGTCGACTATATGGGAGTCCAGTGACATAGCCATTACGCTAACTGCTGGTCCCAATTTAAATGCTCCTTTGTGAACTCAAAACCCAGCCCCCCCCCAATAAAAAACAAAAACAAAACAAAACAAAAAAACCCAACCCAGCCCTAAGCTTAGCAGCCTACACTCTACTTGTGAAGACAAAATAACAGCACATGAAACCAAAGAAGGACTGCCAGCTGTCAGAAGAGCAGAAGTCACCTAAGGGGGGAGCCGCCAGGCACAGAAGTGACATAGGTTGAGTGAGGGATAGCAGGGCAGGCTTTTCCGAATCAGTGAGGCTTGTGGGAGCTCTAGAGGGATGCACTGCCTACAAGGCTAGTCAGAAGGAGAGGAGAAAGGACATCACCAGCTTGGTGACAGGTTGAGGTTCCAACAGGGAACACCAGAGGAGGCAGGACTGGAGGGAGAGGGCCAGGGAAGAATACACATGAGGCCCGCGGACCTGGACATAAGTCCTGACACTGCCCCTTGGCACTTGCATCCCCTAAGCAAGCTGCTTGATCTCTAGGAATCTCCATTACTCAGAAGATAAGGACAATGATAAAGACTCATCTCGACACTGCCGAGAGGAGTAAGGCAGGGCCAGTGTAGTAAATGGCACGTAGCTGGCGCTCAACAGCAGTCACTGCCATCCCTAAGAATGCCCAATCCTGCTAAAAAAAAGTCTTCATAATGAAGACCTAGGCAAAAAAAAAAAAAAAAAATCTCGTCAGGCAACTTGAACGCAAAAC